TAGAATGGCCTCCACCCACGCGCACAACTTCTCACACACCATTTTCTCGCGCTGCAGGAGAGACAGTGACCATGCCAGGCTCCTCCAGTGTACAATCTCTTGTACTTTCATTTCTGACCACCCTGAACTTGACCCACCTCTCCGTGGTTCTGAATAACTTCCCTGCAGAGGCTGGAGTCAGGGGGACCCACACGTGGAAGTCTTTGGGAGGAGGGGTGGTGAGGCACCGGCTGCTTCGTCAGACTCCACACATTTATAAGACAGAAAGCTAGAACCAGAGCAGTGAAGGACCCCAAAGGATGCTGGTCGTGGCTAAGTAGCTCTGAGTTGTTCTTCCTGTGTTACCTGTCCTGATAGATAAGGGTTGGAGAGGAACGCTGTTGGGCTGTATTCCAAAGACTAATGGGGACTTTGTCAACAGAGGTTCAAGAGCCAGAGCTCTGTCCTCAGGCTCATTAGGAAATGAGAAAATCTCTTATGTGGCAGATTCCTCTCTTGACACCATCTAGGGCTGTAAACCTCTTTAAAATGGCGGTCAAATGAAGTTTGCCTTTGGGGGCATTCTAGCTGAGCTCCTGAGGACGAGGAGGGCCATTTTCTGTGTAAGTCCTACTCCGCTGCCCCCATCTCCCCACTATATCCACTAACTTGGGCCCTAGTTTGAGACACGGGGAGGACATGTCTGGACGCCACCAGGACATTTAACTGACTGGTCTCTTGTGGTCTCAGTTCTTATAACCCAAAGGTAGCTCTCTTCTTATAGGCAGGGGGGTGTATGTGTATCTGTATCCCACATGTATAATCCCATTAGACCTTGGAAAGAAAGCTGCCGGGTGTAGCTCTAAGGAAGGTTGACTTTCACCCCACCTGCACCCATAAACTGTGTTTCCCAGGAAGGAGAAGCAGGTGTCTCTGGAGACAGGATGTGACAGGGCTCTACAGTCTGTGGAATTATCTGTGATCTTTTTCTTTGCTGTATCTATGGGCCCTCTGAAAGAGGCCAGGAAAGGGTAGACCCACCTGGGGAGAACAAAGCCAACTTCCCGGTTGTGTGTATGTTCTTGCCTCTGTAATTCCTTTATCCTGCGTCTAGGACTCTTCCTCCCACTGTGTATACCAGGCTGGCAAACCTCAGAGCCAATGGGCTCTATAACTAGACAATGACCATTAAACCTGGCTTGAGTCTCTGCTCTGGCACAGTTTGTGGATGGTTTATTTATCTTAGCCTGTGGGTGGGTTCAGCATACTTCAAAAGGGCGTGACACATCTAAAGAGAGAATCTCTTTTAAGTGTTGTTATCTTCATCGTCTAGGAATTAAGTGTAAAATATCCAGGCAATAAGATTAGACAAGAGAATGGCAAACTTTTTCTTATAAGGCAGAGAGTAAATATTTGGGGCTTTATAGGCTTCACCATTTATTAAACTTCAACTGCACTGATACAGCAGACAGATGTCCACAGACAGTATATAGATGGATGACTGTGGTTCTATCCCAGTGTGGTAACCTGCTAGAGTCAGATGCCCAAGACAGAGCGTTTTATGAGGAAAAAAGGTTGACTGAGCTTACAGATTTCAGGGTGAAAGTCCAAGATCTGGTGGTCGTATTTGTTGTGCATGTCGTGAGAGCCTCATGGAGTATGTCACAATAATGGAAGGACATGCAGAAGAGATCACGTGGTGAGACAGGAAGCGAGAGAGACTCGGGGGTCTGTTTTGCTCGTTGTATAACAGCTTGCTCGTATAAGAACTAACCAGGGTCCTATGAGAACTACATTAATGTCTTCTAAGGATGATGCCCCCAATGACCTAATTAGCTCTCACTAGACCCTATGTCGTAAGGGTTTCACCTTTCAGCTATACCACACTGGGGTCCAAGCTTCTAGGACACGAATCTTTTAGGTACTTATTCAAATCACTGCTGAAACATAGCAAACAATGAAGTTTTACTTATGGGCATTAAAATGCTAATGTCTTTTGAATTTGTTTTAACCAGTTAAAAATGTAGAAGCCACCCATCTTATAGACCACACACAATCAGGCAGGGGTTGGCCTGCCCAAAGGCCGTCGTTTCCCAGCCTCCGAAACAGTCTCAAAAGCAGCATCACAGTGCCCGAGCATGCGCTTGATATCCTGGGCTAGGGCTTGTGATGATTTCCTGGATCCCTAAGGAGGAGGGTTGCCTCCCTACGGGCTTCTCTTAAAAGGCTAGATCAAGCTTTCTAATTGGTACAATGGGAAAATGCTTAGGTTGGGAGGTTGCTTTTTTTTTTTTTTATGGTGGGAAACAGCTCACTTTCATAAAATTTTGATTATTACCAGGATATTTTCATCTTGGGCTAAAAGCATATTCATCTAATGGGTATGTTAATACTCAATGACTGTTTCATGTGCAGTAAGTATTCTGCAGAATAGAAAAAAAAGGGGGAATTTTTACTTTTTTTCTCATAGACATACCCTACCAGAAAGTGGACTAGACTGTACTCTGACTATGCTCTTGGGGCTTCTGGAAGGGACTGTCCTGGTAGATCCAAAGAGGGTGAGGTCTAGGCCCATACCACCCTACATATGCCAGATCTCGGCTGATCTGAGAAGCTAAGTAGGGTCAGTCCAGGTTTGTACTTGGCTGGGAGACCAAAGAGGGAGACATTATATTAACATTTATAATTACCCTAACCTCTTATGTGTATAAAACCGAGCCCCTGCAGCCCTCTCCTGTCTGTGAAGTCATCTTTCTCATCTTGGGAGGAACACCAGCCACTCCACCTCCAGTCACATCAAGTCAGTAAGGGACACGCAGATGTTGAGGTCAGAGCTCTCCCACAGTCCACATCTGTGTATTTTCTCATCTTTACAAACTTGCTTTTGCCGTGGCTGTCTCCTGGTCCAGAGGGCGGTGCTGGTAGAGAGCAGGCTGGGCAGGCCTCTTGGAGTTCCCCCCTTTGTTTTCTGAGCTCTCTCACCTTCCAGACCAGACCTGTACCTCCTCTGCTTTTCTGCTCATCCCACTCCGGAGCCACAAGCTCCCTGGACCGTGGTCAGGATATGCAGTTTGTCTGTCAGGTCTCGCAAGACTTTCCCCCATCCCCCTCCGGCAGCACTTCAGGGGGAACAGAGAAGGCTGATGTGACAGATTGCGAGTCCAGTGCATGGGCTAGCCTAGTCTTTCTTCACCTGGTCTCCCAACTCCTCCCCTTTCTGTATTTGTACCACTTATCTTGTCTCCTAGGCAACCAATGGTGATGCTGTACTTTCCCCACCCACATGGCAAAAAAAGCTCAGGCCCTGCAGTAAGGACAGTTGGCTTTTTTGGTCAGGCCACGGGGAGCCTATGCTGGCTGCTTCCTCTCTCCCGGGGCTTTGAAAGGGGAGGCTAAAGCTGCCCGTCAGGCACTTTCATCAGGCTCAGACGCTGACCAGGAGAAGGTATCAAATGGCCAGGATCCTTAGAACTGCCCCGAGGCCTTCCCTTCCGGTGTGTGCCAGCCTGATGACTGTCCCTGGGGCACAGAGGACATAGAACTATGGCCTGAGAGCCATCCTTCAGCGAGCCAGGAGATGCAGTCCGACTAGGCAGCTTCTGCCCTGGCACAGATGAGGTGCAGTGCACACAGGTTAGGAGGACTGGAGCCAGGCAGTGCTTTGCACTTCTTTCCTCTGACCTCCCACTGCTCCCTCGGTTTGGTCTAAGTGTCACTGCTAGGACACACGGGGAGATACCCGAGAGCCCATCTCAAAGATGGGGTTCTGGGAGCCGCTCAGGTCACTACTGACCCAAAACCAACCCCTCAGATTCCATAGACTAGCCTGACATGGTTCCTTCACCAGCTTCAAAGGCAGGCTAAAAACCTCTTTGGGCACTTGTGACAATAGCTGGCTGTTCTCTGACCACATCTGTGACTAGCCAAGCTTTCTGGGATAAGGTAGTCCCAGCAGAGGTAATCTGTTTGGGTTAAGCCCTGCCCAGTGCTGACCACCTCCTTCCAACCCCTGTCCAAGGCGGTTCTGGGGCAATGCTCTCCCACCCTCAGCTTCTGGCAAGAGAGGCTGAGGCTAAACTAGTGTTTAATTCCTGGATCCAGGACAGAGACAACAATTAAGATAAAAAAAAAAAAAATGTTCAAGTCTGAGTGCCGCTATTGGTTCTGCTTGCCTTCTACTCGGGGCCAAATGCTGCCTGCCCTCAGACAAATGGAATGGAAAGTATCCTCCCTCTTAACTGAAAGTTTACATAGACCTGCTTTCGTGTGAGTGAGTGTGTGTGTGTGTGTGTGTGTGTGTATATGAGTGCTTGTGTGGTAATTCCAGCAAAGCATTTTCAGGAGGAGAGGAGACTATGGTTTTAACTCCAAGAGCCTAAGACAGGAAAACTGTGGACCCCTGGAAATCGGAAGACATGTACCTCACAGAGTCAGGGTGGTGCTGCAGTGATCCCCCCCTCCCCCAGACAAGATTTCTCTGTATAGCCTTGGCTGTCCTGGATCTCGCTCTTTAGACCAGGCTGGCCTCGAACTCACAGAGATCCGCCTGCCTCTGCCTCCCGAGTGCTGGGATCAAAGGCGTGCGCCACCACGTCCAGCTGCAGTGATCACTACTATTGATCCTCCCTTTCTCTGTGTTGCACTCTTCTTTTAGAAGGGCAGAGTTAGGGAGGAGAGATTTAGATAAATTATGACCAACGCTCCCGGCTGAGACCTTACCCTTCCGATTAGACCCGGAGGAAGCTGCATTGACGCAGATCTGCGATCAGCCCTGTGGCTTGACCACACTGGGTAAGCAGTATGTAAGACAAACCTCAGTAACCATGATCTTGGTGGCCTCTCTTGCAGGAAGAGATAGGAGATGACCTTGCATCCAAAAGTAAGCAATGTGACTATTATATGGCCCCCAAAGACCCTCTGAGACTTGGGTCCCCCTGAACATCATCTCCTATAGTTTATTGCCTCCTTAAGTATAAAGCCCAGAGCCAGGCTGAGGGAGAGGAAAGGACAGAAACATCCCATCCGCTTTCCATTTGTTTAATGCTCTGAACCTTGTTCTCTTGTCTGGCCCTCACAACATCCCTGTGAGGTAGGATGAAAAGCAAATGGTTTGCCTATGCCACCCAGTGTTAGGAGCTGACACACTCCTACATCAGATTTCCCGGTGTCCAGGCTGACACACCTTTCAGTTCATGACATACAGGTTCTTTGTGCCAGTCACAGACAAGGGTGTTGGGGGGGGGGGAGTACTAACCCGGAAACTTTCTTGCTCTCTAAGCTTGCTTAAGGGCATGCAGGTAGAATGCCCCACAGAGGCCAAGGCAAGCACACAGGAGTACTAGAGGTTTGGAGTTATCAGCTACCACAGCCATGGTGGTCTCAGTTGAGCATACTGTATTCTCTGTGTACCTTGGCCTTACTGCTTCCTCTCAGAGACAATCCTCAGGCATGGCCAGGCAGCAAGAACCCTGACTCCCTCTCTCACAGCGTCTTCCCGTGCTGTTACATGCCAAAGCCCAGAAAGAGGGGGAAGGTGAAGGCTGGCTGACTCAGCCTGCAAGTGCTTAGAGACTGGAGTGAAAGGCCCAGCACCATTCAGCTAATGATTATTATTAACTCTGAACAGGCCTTGGCACAGCAGCCAGCTGGCTCAGGGGGGATGCCTGGATCTCCCACAGTGAGGTTTGAAAAACAAGACCCACGGCAGCCATGCATGGGGGTGGAAAGGTGGGGACAATGAGAGACAGGGCAGGCCAGTGTCATGGAGGAAGGGTGGCCTGCCTTGGGGGGGGGGGGAGCATGCACAGGCTGGCAAGTGATAGCAGCCTCTCTTGGATGGGGATGACAGCCAGAGAAGGAAGCAAGAGTTCTCAGTGCCGAGCTCCTGTCATTCACTCGCTGCCACCCCCAGCCCCAATGGGACTCCAAGAGAAGGGAGGGTACGGGAACAAAGGGGCCCCTGAGAGGACTCCAAACCTGAGCAGTACGCCCATTACCATTTGGATCTGATACAAAACTATCTTTCTAATGCCCTCAAAGTTGAGTCTGAGAATAATCAAGCTTGGAACACAATCAAATATGGAATCAGGACTTAGCACGATATGGAAATTTGTGCAAATGATGGGCGACTTTTAAATCTTGAGCATCCTGGGTGTCATCCCCCGCCCCACTTTAAAAAGCAAAACAGGCTGACTACTAGCAGCTTCCCCTAGTCAAGGAATCCTGGCAAAGGACAGCCATGTGTGTCCCCCCTCCGGTCCCTGCCTCGCTGCTGAGAAGCCCAGGTAGTATCCAGACACTGGAAGATACAAAGAGGAAGGGGCAGCCGGGGTGGGGGAAGAGAGAGCACACAGCCAGGAGACATATGCAGCCGGCAGCCACAGATCCCAGCTGGAGGAAGAGCACCCTGGCACCGAGGTCTAATGGTTGTCCAGCTGCTGCCCCAGGATGTGAGGGCAGGTGGTGATGGAGAAATGGAAAGACAGGAGGGGAGGGAATTCCCCCCGCCCCAAATCTGGCCTACCAGCCATCCTGGTGACCTACTCCTTATACTGTGGTCAGATCCCTAAGCAGGAGACCACTGCTACCTATGTCCTCTCTGCTCTGCACCGATGCCCTCCGGGCCCACTGGTCAGAGGAAGCGACAGCTGGGTCCCTTCTTCCTGCAGAATATAAATGACTCCCCTTCCTCCCAGGGCTGGGAATAGACATCAGATGGCACAGCCCACGCAAACTGCCGGCTGTCAGCACGCCTGCCCGCCCGCCCACCAGCCCCCGCACCACCTGGGAGGAGGCGACACCTCAGGCAGGCTCAGGCTTTCCGGCACTGCCTCTGCGCTCTGAGAACAAGCTGCTGAACCTTACCTGGCCCACCCTAGGGAGGCCCCAGCACTGGCCTCGATGAGGGGAGGAGATGGAGCCGTACATCAAAGTGACCCTAGTGAGAATCTCTTTCATGTGGCCCAGTAACCATTCCTTCCAAGCTCACAGCACATTGGATAGCTTGAGAGGGAGACAGGGCATTGAAAAAGACAAGAATGGTTCCCCTCGGCACTGCAGGAGCCTCTGTTCAGTAAGCTGTATTTAGAGGAGCTTATGAGAGATGCTATCTCCCTGAGGAAAAGCATCGTGAGGTCCACTGAGAGGACACTTCTGCCTTACAGTCCCCATTCTTGAACTATGGAATCCCACCCACCTTGTTTCTGAGCCACTTGGAGAAGAGGCCTTAAATCTTCAGAGGATCGGAGACATGCGACAGACACTTTTCCTTTGTCTCTGGACCTGGAGCTCCAGCTCCTATACTGCAGGCCTCCCAGAGTCTCTGCCGGGCTCTGTCTCCCAGGTGGGAAGCTGCACGATACCTTTCCTGGGTCAGCAGTATCCAGTCCTTATTAGGCTCTGCAGAGGGCCCGTCTCCTGGACAGACCCTCACCACAGCTAACTAGTTTGACATCCAGCCCTCACCAACAAGGATGCTCTGGGGAACTCAGCCGGACCAAGGAGGTATCTTGGCAGGGAAGAGAGCCCAGTCGGTACTGAAATCATCCCATTCTCAAGCCAAGGGGCTGGCAGGAGACAACAACTAAAGAGAACTTAAATGACAAGGAGAGACGGGCAACCAGGGAGACACGATGTTCCTTGGATCAAGAGGGCCCCGCTCCCTGGTTTTTATTTTGTTCTAAAAGCTTCAGAATAGTTCCCTGGAGCAATGTGCTAAGTAAATACTCTAAGCCCTAAGAGCAAAGTGTAAGAGGCCCAGAACTACTCTGCCCTGAGAATGAAGTCAAGAGCACACCCAGATTCTACAATCTAGACCCAGAGGTAGCCTGAAGGAAGTCCTTAGCTGAGCTAAGGAATCCAAGAGTCCAGGGCTTGGCTAAGGCCAATGCCCTCCTGTTCCTCCAAAGAACTTCAAAGTGACTTTAGTGCCTTCACTATCTTATTGTCCAGGGGACCCTCACCTTGGCCCCTTCTTTCCACAGTTCATGGCCCTTGTTCCTTGGCTCAGGAGTCAAGTCAGCACAGATTTCTGAAGGGTACAAGGAAGAATGGATGAAAGAATTACATCCTGAGCTGTCCGCATGGTCTAGAGCTAAAAGGGTATTCAGTGACAACCATCTGCCAGACACTGAATGTTAAAGGTAAGGGACTTTCAGATGGGGAAACTGAGGTCCTGAGATATGGAACGTGTCTAAGGTTCATTGTACAACACAGCCTAAGAGACCACAGGCTCTCCACAGTACTGCTTTTCCAAAAGGGACCCCAATATCTGTGACTGTCATTCATAACCAACAGGAATTCAACTCTTCATCAGGCACATAAGTAATCACCATCACCACCATCACCATCACCACCACCACCACCTAATGCTTCTGTATCCCATCAAAAGTGAGGCTTCAGGTTCTCCAGAACCCTCTACTTGCACCCAGTAGTACACTTCCCCATTGGGGCCCACCAGATCATCCCTCAGCAGTAGCAGCTAGGGTTTCTGCACCCTGTGGCTCAGCCATGAAGTGCAAAACTTCGTCTGCTTCTGAAGTGGGTCCCGTGAAGATCAAGGAACTGCTGAAGTCCAAGGAGAGAATCTCACCTAGGTTCAGAGTTCTGAGGCATTCACATTTCCACTTTCTTCCTTGGCAAGTAGGCACTGGAGATCTGGTGCATGATCACCAGGGCCGGGTACACCGGTAGTGCCAGGCACAGGTACCAGGCTGCACCTTTAATCTGGGCCTGGAACCACACTGAGTACATGCCCAAGAGCACGGTGACTGTAGCCATCAAGTAGACAACCAGGCCACATGTCAGATGGTAGAGCTTGAGGCGAGCCACCCTTGAGACCCGGGCTGCCCGTGGACAGAGGAGGCCAAGCCCACACAGTGCTTGTCCCCCGGTGGCCAGCAGTGTCAGAGCTCCTGCCCAGCTATGCCAGGACGCCAGATGGGACAGCTCACTGCGGATCTTGCTGGAGATAATGAAGCCCAAGCCCAGGAGAGCACAGAGGATGGCCATGGTCTGCCCTGCCCAGTGGAGTCGGGTCCGGGTCTTCCGGGAGCAGAAGAAGAACAGAGAGTGCTCAGGCGAGAAGAGCAGGATGGCTTCAGCCATGCAGAGACAGAACTGTAAACACAGGAGAAGGCCAGTGAGCCCCTAGTCTGCATGGAGCCTGGGGAAAAGGAGGTGTTAGCAGACATCCAGAAAACGTGGGGAAGCTTAACGGACGTCCAGCCTCCCATACGCCCTTTCTGGACCACAGAACAGCAAACATTGAACTTTCGCCTCGATTCTGAGGACAAGGCCTTGAAAACATCCCTCTCACTTCTTCCTTTCTGCCCCTGGAGGAGAAATATCCCCCTCCCCAACCTCACCCCCCCTGACAGTTTACCCCATTTCCCCCACTCATATAGGTTTCAGGAAAAGATGAAGCTCTCTTTCCCCCATCTTTCTGATCCTTAGAAAGGCCGGGAAAATGCTGGGCGGGGGGTGGGGGGGTGGGGGGGTGGCGCACGCCTTTAATCCCAGCACTGGGGAGGCAGAGCCAGGGGATCTCTCTGAGTTCGAGGCCAGCCTGGTCTACAGAGTGAGAGCCGGGAAAGGCACCAAAACTACACAGAGAAACCCTGTCTCGAAAAACCCAGGAGAAAAAAAAAGCCGAAAAACTGAATGCTTCCCCAAGGGTTAAGCTAAGTAGATCCAAACTCACCGCCAAGGCCATGAACACAGGGTGCCAGGAGAAAAGACCTAAGTAAGAATCAAAGAGAACAGGCTGACGGCTAGGCATCACTGACAATTGCAAAGACCCGGCCATAAGGGAAAAGTCAGCATACCGTCTCAAGCCTAAGCAAGAATCGGGGACTCATCACAAAGGGGTAGCGGCTAAGGGGCCCTTACACCACCTTGGCCTGGGTTCTGCATATGCTGCCAGCCCAGTCCGAGAGTAGACCTTAGTCTGCCCGGGACCCTCCTCACGCTTTTCCATAAGGGGCCTCATTCTAAGGAAGTGTCAGTTCTGTCTTTGGAAGTCCCACCCTCCCAGGACTTCCGGGGCCCCGCCCACTAGGCCTTTACAACCACTCTACGACCCGCCCCTCCTCCGCCGAGGGTCTAGGTTTCGCGTTTCCCAGCGCGCCCAAAGCGGCCCCCCCCCCAGCGCCTAGGCTCCGCCCCTTCCACGGCCCCACCCCTCCTCGCACACTCACTGGTTCCTGGCCGGGACAGCACAATCAGAAAGATGGTGAAGCCCAAAGCTATCAGGTGCGCCAAGATCCCACTGCCTCTCCGCAGCCAGCGGGTCAGTCTCGGCTCCCTCGCTGGAGCCGGAACCAGACCTACCTCCTCGAGCTGCATGGCAATGCCAAGCCGGCCGGTACAGTCCAGCAACCAGAGGCTTCTTCCGGGTTTGCGACCGCGGAGGCGGTGGCGGCGGCGGCGGCGGCGGCTACAGGAGAGGCTCCTCCCCGGGGAGGCTGCGGGGCCGTGTGGCGGAGGCGCCCACAGCGCCCTCTGCAGGCTGGGGGGGAAGCTCCTCGGCCCCGAAGGGCGGCTCCCGGAAACCTCCATTGACCTAACCGGGCTCCCAACCCACCTTCATTTTCTACCTTTGTATCCACAAGGATATATAGCTCATGCAGCCTGTGAAAATTACATCCGTAGCAACTGGTATCAGCGAAACCCCAAATCACACACTTGGTTCGCTGACCCAAGAGCGTGACCCAGTGTTTTGAGCAGTTTTCCAGAAGTGCTGGATTCCCCTGGCTGCTCACTCTCCAGACATTTCTGGCTTGTTCGAGAGACAAGATTCCTCCCTGCCTACGTATAAACGAAAAGACAAAGCCAAAACATAGTGACCCAAACCTGGTGAATTCAAGTATGAGAACCAAAAAGATGTAATCTCATCCCTATTTACAGGTGTAGTTGTCTCCCATAAGATACTCCAAAGATTTAGGGCACTTCCAGTCCGCCGCCTCCACAACAGCTGCACAGCCTCGAAAAGCAAGGTGATCCAGAGGAACCAGGGCCTCCCACAACCCCAAGTTCTGCAACATTATTACCTCCCAACAAGATGGTCCAGCCTAGCTGAGAGAAGCTTTAACCCATCCTTCAGGGAAACTCACAGAAGAGGCCAAAACAGGCTGTCCAGGGGCTGGGGAGACGGCTCAGCGGTTAAGAACGCGTACTCCCTCTTGCTCAGGACCTGAACACCCACATCAGGGGGCTCACAGCTTACTGTAACTAGCTCCAGGGGGATCCCACACTTCTGGCCTCTGCAGGCATCCCATGCACAGACCCACACACAGACACACACATATGGGGGGGGGGGGAAGCTGGCCAGGATCCCTAGATCAGTGATCACCAAGCTCAACCTCTATATGGTTGAGAAACTAAGGCTGCTTTTAGAAGCGGGAAGGGCAAGAACAGCCAGAGAGACTGTTTGAGAGAAATAATTTGTAGAGGGATGGAAGCCCAGAGTTGCTAGAAAACCAGAAAAGGGCCAGAAGCTAACTCCCACAAACCCTCAGGACAAAAACCCCAGGGTCGAGTCAAAGTGTGACCCCCCCCCCTCATTTCCTGTCCCAGTGGAACTGGAGTTGTCTCTCTTAAGACTCTGGGGTGCCTTGCTCATTCAGAGAGGCCTTATCCCCCTCTCTGGAAGAGGGTTCCGTGACACCGGCTCTAGGTCTTGTACACTGTGTGCGTGTGCTCGAGTGTGTCCCGCTTGTCGTCAGCCTCTTGGGACGGGGCTGGGGAGAGTAAGACACTCATCCGGCTACATCGTTTTTCATCCTTTTCTATGTTTCTGTTTTTATAATTTTCTTAGCAGCAACAGAACAGGGAGACAGTCTTGAGGTATTTTAAAGAGTTTTTTTTTTTTTTCTTAAAAAAAATAATATAAAGTTATAAAAAGCGGCAGCAGCCTGGGGCCCGGATCTGGAGGGGAGGAGGTGCTGGCGGCTCCGGTGCGGCGGGCAGGCACTTTCTCGTTAATGGGCTTTTGACTGCAGGAAGACAAGAGGTAAGAGACAGGGTCAGGGTCGGGGCCTAGCCGTCCTCCTTCCCAGCGAACGTCTGGGCTAACCCTTGAGTTCCTTCAGCGGGCCTGATAAATACAACTGAGGAAGGGGAAACTGAATGCCAGCCCAACAGAGGCAGACTGGGTCGTGAAGCTGGAGAATACACATGCACACGCCTGTCCACACACACAGGCAGGCCCTTCACCAACTATCAGATTTCCCTTCTAGGTGCCAGGACAGTGGGCATGCACCTACTCCATGCCTAAATCAGGAGCCTGTTACCCTGCCTCACCCCCCAGAAGTCCCTCCTTACGGAGATCACAGGGAGAGATCAAAGCAGGATTCAAGAGAAAAGATAAATAAACCTAAGTGCAAGCTTTACTAGAAACCTGGAGACCCTGCTGTCATCGGAAATGACTCTGTGGACTCTTGAGTACTTGCTTTCTGTCCTAGTGCCAGAAGAACCAGAGAACCAGAGCAGCCCACCCACCCACCCAGCTACTCAGCATGTCGGGACCAAACTCCCTTCCCCTTAAGGAAAAGTAACTCCAAGTCCTAGCGGGAGGGTCGCAGACGGTCCAAAAAGAAGTGGTCCTTCGATTAAAGCACAGGTAAAGGTAGGATGGGACAGCATGTCCTAAGCCCAAAGGAGAAGACTGGGCACAGGAAAGGTCCCTCCGGCCAAAGCTCCAGTCATCTTGGAGAGAGCTGACCAACCTCTCCCTAAATAGATGGCCCGGGAGTTCTCTCAACTTCCCCTTCGTTCTCTTTTCTGGAGTCATCTCCTCAGCACCCTCTCCACGTCACACACCTCCTGGGTTCCCCAGCCTCAGCCCTCCTGACCCCTCTCTGCCCGTGTTCTTCGGGGAGCTGGGCTGGTACCTTCAGTGTAGAGCACTTCTCCTCAAAGGGCAGCGCCGGACCTGGCTTCTTGCGACGCACAGAGCAGGCCCCGTCAGGAGGGACACCGGCCTGACAGTGCTTGGCCTTGACTGGCCGGCAGTAAGTGGCCAGGTTTTTCCGCTTCTTGGCTACCTCCTCCTCAGAGAGGCAGCTGGTTGGCAGGACCTTGGCTGGGTGTCCAGCCGCTCCCCGGTTCTCTAGCTGAGAAGCCTTGACGGGTATGGGGGATGAGTGAGGGGGACCCCGGCAGTCCAGGGGACCTGCTCTTTTCACTCTTGGCCCCACTGTTCCATTTAGCCCCATGCTCAGGGTTGTTTTCGTCTTGGCTGAGAGGCCCCGGCAGCCAGAGGGTTTGCCTTTTCCAGGAGGCTCCAGGATGCAGGTCCGTTTGAAAGTGGTGGGGCCAGGGGATAACTTCCGCTTTCGAGAAGGGGCCTCCATCTCCACCCCTTCCTTGCCTTTGGATGACTTGCTGGCCTTGGAAGGTGGCAGCTTGCTGAAGGACGGAGATGGAGTGTTGGCAGGCAGTGGTGAGGTAATCGCCTGGCTACCGCCCATGCACTCTGCCTGGCTGCAGGCAGCTGCGACACTGGGGGAGCCTGCAGGGTAGCTAGGGACAAGGCTGTCCTTGATGGGGGGTATGGAGGCTGGGCAGGCAGGTCGAAGGGGCGGGCCTGGAAGCCGGGGGCAGCTGCCCATAGAGGATGGACTCAGGGGATCAGATAAGGAGGGGTTGACAAGATGGGATGGAGGTTCGGCCGCTGGTGGGATCTTCCTGCAGCAAAGAGAGAGCTTCACTGTGATACTGAGCAAACTCCAGGGCCTCCCTAACATACACCGGTCTCTGCACCTTGAGGTGGCCAGCAAAGCCCCAAAGCTGCTGCCCTCTGCTGGGAAACACGGGAACTAAGAGCCGAGGGAGGCATGAGAAGGAATGACCTATCAGTACAAGGCAGATGAACTAGCATGCACACCCATTAACAGCCTGATTTTTGGTCTCAGTTTGGGCATTCCCCCATCCTACATTACCTAAAAGGTACTGGAAGTGATGGGTAAGAGTCTGGACTCACCCCTACCACCCACCCATGCCCTCCTCTAGGCTACCAAGTCTCACCCCTTCATGCCACACCCAATTTGGGTTCTTAGCAATCAGCCAAAGCACGCCAGACTGGGGCTTCTGAAGCCCAAGTATACTCAAGCCTGAGAAAGGAAGTTCCAAGTCCACAAAACTCACTTCCACATGTGTGAGCTGAGGTGCCGTTCCAGCATGGAGCTGAGTGCTGAGCAAAACCGGTCCAGCCGGCGGCTAAACACGTAGCATCCTGGGCTCACCAGCCGGCTCCCAAATGTGCAAAACTAGAGGCAGAGGAAAGAGCATGGTTGATGGGGCCTGAGATACAGGAAGGCATCTGCCTACGGGACTTAGCCCATCCGTCCCAGCTCCCTGTCCTGTGTCCTTACCGCCTGTGGCCTAGGTGGCCGGGTTGCATAATGGCAGTCAGGGGGAAGGTGGAGGTCATCAGATGTCCCCTCCTCCTCACTCTCCTCACTGGAGGCCTGGGCCCCACCCCGGGGCAGAGGGAAGGGAAAGAGGCCTGGATCCCCATCACCACCACAGGGACCTTCATCCTCCACCTCACTCTCAGAGGAGGCCTGGGACCTGGAAGGGCCAAAGGGATATGAGGATGATGTGAATGATGTCGGGTCAGAGTTGGGGTATCCACGCTCACATAGCCAGGGTAGACACACCCTTCTGGGTACTCGGAGGAGGAAGGGTTCGGGAAAGTACAATAGAACTCTCTAAGTAAGAGACAGAACCAAGGGCTTCCAAGGGCTTCTCTCCCCAGCCTCTTCCTAGGCCTTGCCTCTTCAGGGAGGAAGTTGCTTCGGGCTCGCTTCCTCCAGAAAGTCTTCCCAGCTTAGCTACACCCAGCACTGCTCAGCCTAGTCAACTCCCTCCACCCTCTTCTCCACCATCACTGCTGTGGGCTTGTCTGGGAGCTGAGCCTGTGTTTCATGTCTACCCCTAGTACTACATGTAAGTCTCCTTCAGTAAGGCAGGCTCCCCCCAGAGACCAGTGCAGCCTCCGCACACACAAAGGGGCCAGTGGATGACTACACAGCAGTACTGCTTTACCCAGGACCCTGACCCATTCAGCTCCCCGAT